AGGCGGCCAAAGTATTTGAGTTTCATCTTCAGCATCTGGCCTTCTAAAGAGCAGTCAGGGTTGATCTCCTCTAGGACTGACCGGTTTGATTGCCTTGCAGTCCAAGGGACTCACAGGAGTCTCCTCCAGCACCACAATTCAAAGGCCTCAATTCTTCGGCGCTCAGCCTTCCTTATGGTCCAGCTTTCACAGCCATGCATTGCAACTGGGAAAACCATAGCCTTGACTGTACGCACTTTTGTTGGCAGGGTGATGTCTCTGCTTTTTAGTATGACCAGTATAATATGAAGAAAGTGGCTGCACATGACTTTGTATTTACAGTACAAGGACAATCGGGATACTTTGTGATAGGGTTTTTCCTTGCATATTGAAATAAGAAGTGTGGGATAGTAGGGTGATGAGTTGTTCAGAAGAAAGGGAATGGACCAGACATCCGAACTAGGAGCAGATCCTAGTCCTTGATCCCCTTCCATTGATCAGAGATGCTGTGGTGATTTTTAAGCACATTTCCCACTGTTGGGGCGCATGCTAAGGACTACAGCGCAGCTGCCACTGTGAAAAATATGGTCCTGTGTCCCACACATGTGAGATTGCAGGGAAAGTTAGGAAGGAGACGTGTGCGGAGGCATGGCCCTTCAGAAAGAAGCATTTCTCTCCCATCTGTTAGCAAATAAGTGAGGACTTCTGTAAAAAGGAGGAAACTGGCAACTCCTCCTGCCCCTTCAGAAAAAAAAGCACAGGGAAAGGGATGAGGAGAGAAGAGGGGGAGAGTGTGGTGCTGCAGGCTGCCATTCGGCCACTTCCCATCGGGCTCCCATCCCCTCTACCCAGAAGCAGTTCTTGAAAGCATTGCAGCTCCTGTCCTGTGCTGACTTTTGCAAGAGTAAGCACCAGTGAAACGAATGTAGATTGTTGTTTTTTGTAGTAGGCTTGCTTATAAGCACCATTAAAGTCAAATTGGTTTACTTCTGAGAAGGCACGTATTTGAGGGAAGGGGAGCAGGGAAGCAGCATTGCATTCACCCTCCAGGTCAGAGGGAAAGGCTTGAAGACATATAGGATATAATGGCAGAAAAGGCATAAGATGGATGGCTTGGGCTGAACATCATGTGATGTGCCAGTGACTTAGGCATCGTGTTTCTGAGAAAAAATGAGTAGATCCCCTCCCTGCTTGTGGAACAATAACTTGCCATCTTTGGTGCTTTTCTTATCATGCAATCAACCCTGAGATTTCTGAAACACCGAAACACTCTGTTAGGAGGACAGCGAGCAAATATTTATAGACTTCAGTGCAGCCAAAGTTGCATATAATGATGCTCTGTTGAAATCAAGGCAGAAATTGCTTTGCACCAAAATCCCTTTCCTTGCAGTGGGACTTACAGCCCACATTTTGAGCATGTTTACATAGGTTCCATGAATTTCAGTGCACACTATTTCCTGGAAAGTGTGCAACCAGGATTGCAACTTTCGCCCTTAGTGTATTTTAGGAGGATCTGGAGGCCAGATGTTCTGGGCCAAACCTCTCTCTCTCCTTTTAATGCTACCTATAAATAGTACCTGTAACTCTCAAAATCCCAGTTAACATTCATTTGGGATTACTAGCACTCTGTACTTTTTGGGCATTAGGACATCGGACTTCTAATCACTACACAACTGGGTGAATGCAGTCCCTGAGTGTTGTCTGCTAGATTCCAAATTGCTAGCCTTAATTACTAAAGCGAGGGCTGTGGATAGACAGCATTAGTGCAAATGGGATTTGGTAGCCATTCATCCTGGGAAGTGGGACTCCACCTTCTCTTTCCTCCTTTCTCAGTGTGATTCTTCTAGCAAAAGTGGTTGGTGGCCAGTGCACCTCCAAAGTAAAATGTATTTGTGCAAGCCTTCATATTTCAGGCTGCAATATACTTAGCAGCTGGGTTCATTTCAGCTGAAAATCCAGTAGAGCAGTGGGCAGAGGTACATGGAAAGTGGGAATTAATTGAGAAAAATGTGGAGGTTTGTGTTTGTTTTTGGCTTTGTAAGGTTATTCTCTGTGGCTAAGTGTGATAGAAATAAGTCGGTTAACAAAGCCATCATTGGAGCAATGTACTTGCCACTTCGATAAATAGTGAATGAACACCCTTTCTCCCCTCCTTTCCCCTCCCCACTAAAAAAAGAAGAAAAAAAGCAGTTGGCAAAGATAGAGAGAGAGACCTGAGTTTATCTGATTTCCGTCAGGCACACAGCATTCTGGATTGTAGCCCATTGGCAAAAACTTGCAGAGAATTATCCTCAGCAGCCTTAGGAATGTTCTCTGTTCGAATTGGCGCCAATGGCCGAGGTCTGCTTGTTAGCCGAAGTTCACACAGACTTCTTGCCAGGCCTGCCCAGAATGCTGTCTCCTCCGACTTCCTGTGGTCTTGCATAATATTTCCTCGCTACTTGTTATAGCTGTGTGCATTTGGTCCAGCTGCATTGCTGCTGGCATGGGACATGTCTCCAGCTGTTGCAGAAGCAGGCCTGCTTACCTGCAAGCCCCAGAGAGGCATCCAAGGTGGCAAATGTTAGGGGACGCGGCTCTTGAGCATTGCAGTGGGGTCGCTCTGAGTCTGAAGCTGTAAAGTGGGTAGGCCCTGTGTCTGGCTAGAACCATGCATTTGAAGTCCAGGACAAGGTTAAACCTATTAAGGATCAAAAGCCAACAGCAAAAGTGATCTAATATATAAAACACGGAAGGTTAGAATTCTATTCTTGGCACAAGTATAGCCAAGAAAATCTCTTGCTCACCCTGTATGGAAAAAGCAAATCAGAGTGCTTTGAAAAGCACCAAAGTAAACATGGAAATCACTGATTCCTAAATAGGCCATGATAGGTCGGCCTGTAACAAAGTGCAGCGGCTCCGTCTTTCTAACAGGAAGGCTCCTCTTCCAGGTCCAGCTACCCAGTCTGTCCAAGCGGGACTTTCAATCCTCTTGCCCACCTCCCATTTTCCTTTCAACATTCTGTGGCTCTTCAGGCTAGTTTGGGGTGCTGGTGGTACATTGAAATCTTTTTTACAGTCCTACAAGCTTTAGGATTCCCTTCTGCTTGTCAACATCTCTCTAGTTCCTCCAAGGCTCCATTTTGGCTCAATTTCTGATGACACTCGTGTGAGTTTCACTGTTAGAGAGAATGAGGGTTTCAGCTGGGCTGATGGCCTGTTTGAACACAGTATTTCAGGCTATATCCTGCTCTTACCTGGAGCTGAACACATAATTCCATGGAAATCAAAGGATTTAGGTATAGCAGCAGTACTTATGGTATCTATTCAATGAAAGCATATATTCTTGAAGCGTTTTAATACCATTGCATTTTTAAAAAATTCTTAGCATGGAAAAGTCATGAGGTCACTCCTAAAGACAGGAGAAAAATCCAAAATGCATCTCTCTAAGATGCTTTCTGCATCAGGAGGACTGGATGTGATACTGCTTTAATGAATTCTTCAGAGCAGAGGTGTTGAACCTCAGTCAACAGAGTTTCCGAAAAGCTATGGAAACCTGCCTTCCAGTGGTGGATGGGAGCCAGAATGGGCAGAGATCCACATACCAGCATATTTAACAGCCAATCCGGTTGGCTCCATACATGGAATGGGGATTGGGTACCATATTGTCTTTCGCCTCAAGCAGCAAAATGTTTTGGGCTGCCCCTACTTATGGAAGAATACAAAGTTGGCGGTTCCCTGGCAGGAGATGCACATTTCCTGAAGAATGCCATGTGGCTCAGTTGCTGGGACTGGAGCACTGTGACAGAGTTCATGCTGCCCACAATTCCATCTGTGGACACTTCACCCAAAGTTGAAGGACATGTATTTAATCTGCATTTTTTTATATAGGAGCTATCTTTATGTAGCTTCTGGGTTATTTAGAGTGACGTTGTTTCTCTGACTTTTGTATACTCATACTTGAATTCAAAGGATAAGCACAAACAGTGGGTGAGTTCCTTATCATTGAGAGAAAACTTATATTTCATGTTGGACGGTATCACATTCTGAAACTTTTCTGCTTTCTGGACAGACCTTCCAGGATTGTCCTTTGTAAAGTATAACTTGTGGACACTATATACTGCATATAATTTTATATAAATTTATATCTTGTCCTGTGGTCATTTGCTCTGCTTATCCCCCTAAACTAAAAAGTAAGCATGGAGGAGGGTTGGGTGGGGGGAGGGTTGTACCCTTCAGGCAGCATGAAACTCATATGACGTTATTCTTCAAACTTCACACTTCTGTAATATTAGTGATGGGAGTTCTCCACCTTAAGAGAGATATATACACAAAATGCATATATTAAGGGAAAGTGCACACAAAATGCATATATTAATGCAAACAATGCTTTAAATTGATTTTATTAAAAGAGTTGCTTGTAAAAACTGAAAAATGGGCAAAATTGCATGTATCAGGAGAAATGTATATAAATATGCATCTGCATTTTTATGTTAAAAAAGTAAGGTTCAAGACAAGATAGACTTAAGATTGGAAAGTTGGGAATATTGCGAGAAACCAAAATGGACAGATCCATCTGTCCCTATTTAGAAGCCCCAGAGACTTGGCCTTTGAGATGGAATGACTTGACTATTACATCCTTCCTCCTTGAATCTTCATCTTGCTATTTTTCCAAACAGAATTGAGGGGAAAGTTGCTAGTATTTTAGTCAGTTCTGTAAAAAGAACCAGCTTCCTGTCCTCTGGTCAGTGAGTAGAAAGACACAGGGATAAAGTTGTGCAATTTATTTATTTATTTTATACTGCCCAATAGCCAAAGGCTATTACCTCATTTACCCAATTTTGCTCTTTTGAACCAATACACAAATTGAAATTCTGTTATCATTCAAATATTGCACTTTTCCAGATTTTGCAGTGGGGTTCGCTCAAAATGTAAATCAGTGAAAATAATGTTCACAAATGTTCCATGTTCCATTAGGGAAATTAAGAGCATAAGAAAAGCAGTTCTGGGCAAGATCATTTAGTCCAACGTTCTGTTCACAGTGACCAATCAGCTGCCCCAGTGGGAAGTCCACAACCAGGATACGAGTTCGACAGCACCTTCCCAGGTCCCCATCAGCTGGTGTAAGTAGACATAGTGCTTGCAAATCCTTGCAAAAATGTATATATTAAGCAAAGTTGTATACCGAAGACTTATGTAATAAGAAAAACATGCATAAAAGTGTTCAGGCAAAGGCTCTGGAAGAAAGTGGAATGAACCAAACTTAGATTGGAAAGATGAGAAGCTGAGAAAAACCAAACTTGAAATAGTTGTCATTTCTATTTATTTATTTATAAGACATGATCAGTGCATATTTATTATTTTTATATAATAAATAGCTTGATATCCTGATTGTTTTCAAAAGTAACCTCAAGTGAGTCTAGGTAAATGTGAATAGAATTGCAATCTTAGCTTGTATTTAGGGTTCTGCTTGGTTTCTGTCTCCTTCACTCTGGTGATTTTATTTTTATAGTTCTTGTAAAACTGCCATGAGAGCATCATAGGGTCCAAAGGTGGGTTATCTCCTTTGGCCAACAAACCCCACCCACCCACCTGCCAACATATGTATACATACACACACACATATGCATATACACACATTTTACACACAAATATCATCAGAGCAGTTTTGGTTGTTTTTCTGCTTGAGAGCCTGCTTTGAAAATGGCTTTGAAAACCTTCTTTTCTGCTGTTAGAACTGTGGAGCAAGCTGGTGGTGTGGCACTTTCCTTAGACTGATGCAAAATCTACACAGTACCAAATGTTGTGTTTTTCCAGTACACATGATGTGCTGTTGGAGGCTAACCAGGGCAGGTACAGCAAATGGTTAAATGGATGGATATGTCCATTTTCCTTTTTTTCATGTTATTTTTTAAAATCTCAAGTTGTCTCCATCTGAAATAGGAAGCAGCTTGCACATGTCGGCAAATTTTGATTCAGAACAAACCAGAACCAAACTCTGAGCTGTTTGCACCAGTCAGATGTGGTAAGTCCAGCTGGTCCCAGCGTGGAGTGTACTTTGTTCTAGCTACCTGCTTTACAGCTGCCAAAGTTGAGGGGCTTGTCAGAACAGAGTGACAAGCGGCAGCAACATCTTTGAATATACAGAGACTGACAGCCAGATGCTTAAGAGCAAAGCACTTACAACCCTAGGCTTGGAATGACAAATCTGTCAATCTGCTTTTCTTCCACACTCAAATTCTTTTTATTTCTAGTTCTCCCCATCCTGCATATAAAGAAAAATGTGTGCATCTGGGTATATTCTGATCAAAGACAGACAGAAATGAAATGTAAGTCTCACCTATCCCTAGAAGTTAAAAGCCACTGTGCAACTAGTATAAGAATGTAAGAAATACTGTGCTGGATCAGACGAATGGTCCATTCAGTCCTGCCCTTCGTTCACATGATGGCAGGTCAGCTGCCCACAGGATCCCTTAAGCAGGATAGGTGCAAGGCCTCTACCTGCCCCAGGTTCCTTGGCATTTGGGGTATGCAGGCATGCGGCATCACCCCAAATACATTTGTTTTCAAACTCAAGGTGCCAACTTTCCTATACTTGAGACTTTGCCCTACTGCAAAGAAGTGCCAAAGCTGTTACTATGGAGGTATGTGTTGGAATAATGGGAGAGTAAGCCTTCATGGCAATGGTGCAGGAAAATTATTCAGGCTGCTTTTATTTTTATTGCATTGGCTTCTTTCTCCGCTGTATGCTGCTCAGGGAGCGGATGCCGGAGGGTGGCTCATAAGTTCTCAAACAGATACAGGAGTGCCAATGCTTATTTATTTAGACTGAAGGGGGCCAGCTCGTGTGCTGCTGGGGAAACTCTCTGGAGTTACAGGAAGTGACATTCCTGGGCAGGAATGAGGAGGGGGAGCCCCAGAAACCTCTCCCAAGTGATGGGCCACCTGTCAGGGCATGGACCACGCAGGTTGTTGACCATGCTGATCCCGACTCATGGCCCAGTTTCTCCCCCACAACTCTCTCTCTCTCTTTTCAAAGCCCTGTTGTGAAGCCTTGGGCCTACTGTTTGGCCTCTTCTTATCCTACTGAAATATGAAATGAGCTAGAAATTCACATTCAGGGGTCTCCAAACTTTTCTGGTCAGTGGCATGCTTGGCATGTTGAAAGAATGGCATGGTGCTCTCCTAAAATGGCTGTCGTGGGAAGTGCTTGTCCATTCATAAAAAGCAGTAGTGATTGGCATGGCCAGATGCAAAGCACGGCTTTCCCACAAGGCAAACAGGTGAGGCCCTAAGTTGCACAAGAGCCTAAGCGTAAGGCTAAGAAGGAGTCTGAGCCCCAGAGCATGAAGGTATCCTATGGGACTCAAATATAGATGGGTTTGGAAGATAGTGCTTTATTTGGTAACGTACCAGCATCTCGGTTAAGAAAATAAAAAATAAAAACATCTCAAGAAATAAAATAAAAATCAGGAGGGGTAGGTGGCCATATGGGCACCTGGAGAAGGATCTGCGAGTATATTGGTGGCCATTGGCACTCCCTTGGAGACACCTAGTTTAGCTGAACTTCTGCATATTCTACTCCTATTAGCTGATCTTCCCCCCTTCCTCTGTGTTCTTTCCCCACTGTCAAAATTTATACTTTAATCTCCTTGGGGCAGGAGGTTGTATCTTTGTTTACTTCACTCTGCAAACTGGCACACAAGTTCCCAGTGCTGTGTAATCATACAAACTTTATTTGTGGAGTATAACTTTAAAAAGAGGTTATACTCCACATGCTGAAAGATAAAATATTTTTGCATGTCCCTCAAGCAGAGGTTTCAGCTGATGGTGTTCAAGATCATGAAATCCTGTAAGATCATGTAAGATCTGGGTTATCAAAGTAGAAGGGGTTTTGAAAAAAGAATTGAAGATATCATAAAATTGCTATATAAATTATCCACATTTATGAAATAATTCCAGATAAATAAGTAGGGCCTTCTCTTTGCTGGTACTCACACTTTAGAACATTCTCACTATGAAATGTTCACCTTATTCCTTCCCTGGCGGCTTTCAGGTTCCCAGTCCAAGGAGACCCTTTTCTGCTTTGGCAATATTTTGACTGCTGGTTTATAACAACTGCTTTGTGCAGTTTCCTGCATCTGTTTCTCATTTTAAATGCTATTTTAATTTTTGTATTTTTAAAAAGCTGCTTGTAAGTCTCTGTGGAAGCTTTATTTGAAAGATGGTGTGTGAATGTTTTTGATAAGGTAAATAAATGTAACTGTTCAAATGAATAGATGAAACATATATCTGATAATATCTATATTTATAATGTATCTATATCTAATATGTTTTATCTTTATTTCTAATACTGTAATTATACTGAAAGCAGCTTCATATTATGATATTAAAATATTTCAGAATAAATTTTGACTCCTGACAGAGGCCTGTCCTAACTGATAATATCCATTTGTTTTAATTATTATTTAAAATTTGAAGAGACCAAGTGTTCACAGAGCAAAAAACCCTTGTGGGAGGAGGAGGACTTTACAAGCACAGGGAGTTGAACATGCTGGCTAACAATATTCCTAAAAGAAACACACCTCAAGAACACTTATTAAATAAAAATGTTAAGGTAGGCTAGTGGTGAACCTCTGAATTCACACAGGAACCTTCTTTGAGGTCTTTGGAATTGCACTAAAGCTTTTAATGTAGAAGGTAAGGATTTTGAAGGCCTAGTTTTTCAGCCAAACTTCCTCTTTAACCATAGGCAGAACACTTAGGATTATTCTCCAAAATGCTCTGCTGGCTTTGTGTTACTGCTTATGTCCACGTATCTGTATTTAGATTAGTATGCACATGTTGGAAAGTCACCTGCTTTCAGACATGGGGAAACACCCTTTCTGTGCACTGGTGTAGCAGCTGGGTTGCCCTGAAGAGCAAAAGAAGCCTTGGAGTGCTGTCTTTCTGGGGACTCACGGTGTCCATTGCTCTGCAGGAAGATACTGCTCTCCATGAGAGGTGCGCTAAGCCAGATAAGGCCAGGCCTGAAGGGATCTGAGCTCAGAGATAAAAGGGAGGAGGCTGCTGAAAGCAGGAAATATTCTGCCATTTGTGGAGATGTCTCCTTGGTGCTGAACGTTTTGCTCTCTCTCCTGTGAGACTTTCACAAACAAAACCTTGATGGGGAAATAACAACTTTGAACCAGGGGCCAGGCTCTGTATCACCTACTCTGTGATCATCTGTTTGGATGCAGGATGCTGGGAAGGGTGGTGGAGCATTTCATGAACATGTGCTTTTGAAGGGACACACTGTGCTTTTCCCAGAATGCTGGGTAACTGTGTCAAGCTGCCTTGTAACCAGGGCTAGTAGGAAGGTCTTCCTAGAAAGAGGTGTGCTGTGAACACAGCATAAACAGAACGTGCTTGCTTTATCTGTTCATTTCTTTATCTGTACCCTATATGTCTGAATACTTGCAAAGTAGGCCAATATTTTTTTTATTTGTATTACTGACGGGATGGGAGACCAAGGGAAAGTGAATTTCCTACAGCTGCCTAAAACCATGAAAGAATCTGGTTGCTTGTTAAAGACAGATGTATTTACGCACAAGCTTTCGTGGACTGCTTTGTTAGATGCATGAAGTGGAATCCTCCATTGACCGTGTGTGTGTGCCTAATATAAATGGTACAGGGAAATCCGCATGAGCAGTGTGGTGAGACAGCCAGGAGAAGGCGAGTGGTACAGGCCCCTTTCACCAGTTTGCGCCATACAGCAAGCAAAAACAGCATGCGCTGGGCAGCCCCGCCAACTTGGCTGTACCACAGCGGTCCTGCTCCAGACCCCTCCATGTGCAGAACCGAAAGCCTGAACACCTGGGCGCATACTGTTGGCGTCCAAGTTCAGGCCTTTGGCCCTCTGAGCAGACATTTGGGGCAGGTTGGGTGAGACCAGTGCTTTTTTTGTTAAAAAAAAAAAAAAGTGCTGGAACTCACATCTTGGGGTTACACTTTTACACAACTGTCGCTGCCGGCAGTAAGCACTCAGCGCGCAACTACACAACCAATCCCAAGCTGAGCAGCGTACCAAGCCAAGCAGCGCCCTCACAATCAGCACCGACAATCAGCACCGACACACAAGCAG